AAGTGTTAACTCATCAAGACTGATAGCAATCTTAAACTTTTGAACACCTAACAACATAGTTTCAAAATACAACAAGCCAGGGAAAACAGAAAAATCCACACTTTCAGCTCCAGATTTCAATGCCCATCTGTGAATACTGGATGGGACAAGATGGAAAACTGGCAAGGGAACAGAAAGTTAGAAAACCACTATCAAGCAACCTAACATAATTAACATGTAGAACACACTGCATGATAATAGCAGAAGTCTTTTCAATACCTGCAGAGTGTTTACTAAAATGGACCATATTCTGGCTATCAAACAAATGGCCATAAATTTAAAAGAATTCTAATCATGCAAAGTATGTAATTTGACCTAATAGAATTACATTAGAAGTCAACAAGATAAAGATATCTGAAAAGTGTCCAAATATATAGGAAAAATACTTCTAAATAGTTTACAAACCATAGAAGGAATCAAAAGGAAAATTAGAAGGTATGTTGAAGTGAATGAAAACAAAAACACAATGTATCAAATTTGTAGAAAGACATTAAAGTAGTACATGAAGGGAAATTTGTACCAGTAAATGCTTGCATAAATAACATTGAAAGATTTTAGTGTAAAGCCAGAGTAATGAAAAAAAGCATAAAGGCATACAAATAGGTCAATGAAACAAAGTGCTCAGAAATGGACTTACATGAATTTAGATATCTAATTTTTGATAAATATACAAAGAGGAGCCATGCATGGTGGCTCACGCCTGTAATCCAGCACTTAGGAGGCTGAGGCAGGAGGACTGCCATGAGTTCAAGGCCAGCCTGAACTACATAGCAAGACCTGACTCACAAAACAAACAAAAAATCAAATCACAAAAAAGAATGGTTAGAATATACAACAATTGAACATCCACACATGTGCATATGTGCCTGCATGAGAACTACAATCTATGTGTCACTCCATACCTAAAATTCAACTTGTATAGGCTGTAGGGTTAAATGTAAAACATAGCACTGTAAACTTTTTCAAGAAAATATAAGAGGACATCTTTGAGAACTGGAGTTAGTCAAAGATTTCTTTCAGATGACTCTAAAAGTAAAAATGATAAATCTAACTTCATCAGAATTAAAATTTCTGCTTTTTAAATGACACACTCAAAAGAACAAAATGGCAAGATGCACACTGGTGAAAAATGTTTGCAAAGCTTTTATCTAATTAAAGTATTTGTATCTAGAATATATAAAGAGCTCACAAAACTCAGTAGTCAGAAATCAAGCAACTCAATAAAAAAATAGGCAAAAGATTTAGACAATGTCCCAATTAAAATATGATTAGTATACTTCACAGATCGAGAGAAAACTTTCCTAAAGTTCTTCTGGAACCAGAAGAGGCATAGAATAGCAAAAGCAATCTTGGGAAGCAAAGGACAGGCAGGAGGCATCACAATTCCTGACTTAAAATTATATTACAAAGCTACTGT